GAACACATTTGATTATATATAAAAATAAATACATTTTAAATAATATTATATAATTGAAACATGTAAACCATTATATTTTGTAATTCTACAAAACGAACAGATCTTATAACTATAATGACAACATTCATTTCATATTTAACAGTTTATTTAATATCTTGCTATGAGATGTTTCTCTGAAAGTTCGATTTAAACTTCTATTCACTACTGTTTTTCTTTCTTTCTTTCTTTTTTTTCTTTTTTTTTTTCTTTTTGTAAAGAGGTACAGATATCTACGATATTTTCAAAGATAGCTGTTTACAAATGCTGTTGTACGAAATCCTGAAATGTAAATATCTGTTGTTCAGTCAAGCTTGCAAATATTATCACATATTATATTATGTTGTGAGAAGGCTATTCACAACTTTATGTCTTTTATGTCTAAAATAAATTTAGTAAATACACATTTTTTTCTTCTCGTTGGATTCTTTCTCGTGGATTCAGAGTTTGAACATGCAGCTTTTGCCGCAAAATCATATATCTTTAAAAATAGTTTTAATCATCTTTTTTCTTGGATATCACATATAACTTCTTAGAAAAATGTTCTAGAAAACCATTTCTTTCATTATATTACTGTTTGTCAATCGTTATCTAAACAATCAACATATATATATATATATATATAATCCAATATTATTTTGTTATATTAAAATATCATAAGTATTAAAATGTATATCCTTCCTTACTCTTTTCTTAATTTTTATATCATATTCTCTTTAACATCACATATATTAAATTTTAATTATATTTCATAAATAAAAAAAAACACAACATGAATATTATAAAAACATAAAGTATCATGTAAAAATAGCATATATTTATAAATACATAAATCATATTATTATCTTATTTTAATTTATATAGTTAATCTTTTACATAGTTAATCATAGTTAATCTTTTCATTATCAATTCATATTTTTTATGAGTTAATTATAAATAAACGCGCGCGCGTATATGTATACATATGTATTTTAGGAAATCTGGTTATCGTATGTATATGATGTTTATATTTCAACTCAAAATTGATGCAAATATAAAATAAAATTTCGAAATAAATTTTTGAAAATTAAACTTCTTTAAATAAATAATAAAATAAAAATGCATACTAATGAATAATATTAGAATAAAAAAATACTTTAATATAATATTATATCTAATGGCAATGTCCATAATACATGATAAAAGACACAATTAGTTGTGTATATATTTGCATATATATTTTAATGTATATGGTATTATTTGTGGTCTTTTATTTGTATACATATTTAAATGTATAAAATATTATTTGTGGTTTTTTTAATACATGTGTATTTAATATATGTGTGTGAATATTAATTATTTAATATAATATTTGATCCATTTCTTCGGAAATTTTCCATTAAAGACAGAAAAATATTTTTAACATTTTAATTGTATATTTAATATTTATAATGAATTATTCTATATATTTTATTATGTAACAACGGCTTTTAGGATAAAAATAGGATATATTACAGGTATTATAAATTTTTTAGGTATTATAAATTCAACTTTTTTTTCACAGTAAAACAAAATAATATAAAACAGAAAATAAAACTCTGAATTATATTTATATTAAGTTATATGTATTACAGTGTGTGTGTGTGTGTGTGTGTGTGTACGCGCGCGCGTATTCATTCGTTGTTTTCAAAAAAACATCGTTAATACTATTATTTAACAAAACTAAATAAACAAAACTTTATATTTACGAAAAAAAAAAAAAAAAAAGAGAAAAGAATAGACATGCGGAATTTACAACATGTGTTGTAAAATTAAACAAAATTTACAGAAAAATCTATAATTTAAAATAAAATGTATAGTTTAATTTTTTTAAAGAAATGCAAATATTAAACAAGTTAAAAAAAATAAATAATAATTCGTTAAATTTTAGTTCAAATATCAGTCCAAGAAATATTTGAGGAACTATTTGAGCAAAAAGTTATATAACTATATGAGCAATCTTTTTTATGTAGAGTTATCTTAGTAATAAATATACTAATAAATTCGTATCATTTATCACATTGAAAATTTTATGTGGTCAGGAATGTGTCATTTGTATCTCAAGTTATATTTTCTCACATGTTAAAACAATATATTGTCTATATTGTTTTATTTTTAGAAAAAAGCAAATTTTTATGAATAAAAAATCGAAATTCTCTTTCAAAAGAATATATTATTTTGCAGATATTAAACATCGTCCTATAAATATTAAACATAATTTATGAAATCTAAAGTAATAAATTGACAGACTTTAACTTTCAAGAAATAACTAACATTCAATTTTATGTTTGTATTTAGTTAAGATTTGGAAAAAAAATGACCAAAAATATTATTTTTCAAAGCTTTATAATAATATGGCAGATTCCAGCTCAAAATGACTAGACTCATTCTTATGCTTATGTTTATGATTGAGAAAAGAAGCTTTATATTTGAACACTGCATCACATTTGTCGCACGTAAAAATCAAATGTCGTTTCATATGTTTTTTGAGTAATTTCGTTGTTTTAAAACGCCATCTACATTTAGGACACTTAAAAACTCTTTTATCTTTTAATAAATTTAAATTGTTATCCAGCTGATCAGATCTTTCATTACTATATTCCTGTAAGTCAAGATTTTCAGATTTGTTAATCTCCATTGTATACTTTTCATCTCCTTGACATTGTTCTTGTTGCGACTGCTCGTGAATATATTTTTTATTATCCTGAAGTTTAAGTTTAGATTGTGGGAGATGACTATCATCCTTACACTCCTGACCACATACATTGGAAGTTGCAGCAGTATTATGATGTTTCATATGTTTTAAGAATATTGTCTTATTTTTGAACAATTCAGTGCAGAACTGACATCGAAATATATAAATGTCAGCATGTTGTTCTCTCTGATGACGCCTAAAATTCGAAGCATCTACCGACTTAAAATCACAGTCTGCACAACAAAACAAACTGCTGTCAATTTGATGTAATGTAACATGAGATTCAAATGATATTATTGTTTTCAGGAGTTCTCCACAAACTGTGCATTCGTATGGATAAATATCCTTGTGAACTGTTTTGATATGCCTCTTAAGATGATAATTTCTACGAAATTTTTTCTGGCAATGAACACACATAAATTTCTTATTACGCGTTTGTAAATTCAATTCTTTTCTATCCTTATTCATTTCTTCAGGTATCTTCTCCACAGATTTGTCAGCAACTTCTTTAGTTTCGATTACTGCTTTTGTTTTCAGTGAAAAACGCGATTTTATAAATTTAGTTTTATCTGCGACTTTGCTAAGTTCATATGGACCTTGCATCGGCACAAGGTAAAATTGACCGTTGTTCTCAATCACAAGGAAATTTTGATCAAGGGGGTCACGTGGCACAGACCTAAAAATAAAAAATATAAATTAGTTTAGCACAAAACACGTTTATGTTGTACACAAAAACTCATGCTGTATATTACTATAGAAAACACATGTATCTACATTAAGGACATAGTAATATATTTATGACATACGTAATGTAAAACTGTGAATTGTTATTAAGAAATATGTTCTCTTCATGCTGTAAATGCAATTTTCATTGTAATTGTCATCGTTGTAATTGCATTGTATTCAAGTAATCCTTGTTGTATAAATACAATAGAAAATACATTGTATATTTGCGATATGGTCCACACATGTCCACCAATTTAAACATTTATTGTATACATGCCTATTTCATGCTAATAACATTAAAACATATTTAAAAACAGTATATTGCAATTCTATATCTTGCAATTAGATCTAAAAAAAATTCTTTTTCTTATATATTAATACAAGAAACATCTTTTTATCATCGAAATAAAGCATCTTTCTATCGCCGAAAATGCTAATTAAGTGCAAATTTAATCAATATTACAGTACATTGTATTGTTATACTTTTCATTATATTTAAAAAATCTTTTTCAAAAAGAAGATTCTTCAATGTGTAACTTTAATCGTGGAAAGTGTGAATAGATTTGTTTATTAGAAACATATGTATTTATTTAGTATATTACATCGATTTTATACTGTACATTGCATCATCCCATAAAACAAACCGAAGTCATTGAAAGATTGGCGAGGATTATTTCCAAAGAAAATATTTTCGATAATTTTTTTCAGAAATTAATTTCAATATTTCAAAAAAAAAAGCTCAAGGAAAAATAATATCTTTCCGATCAAAAGTGTACGAGTTAGCGTGCGAATGGGTTATTAAATAAAATGTTAAAAAATATAGCACTTTCTTTCGTGCAAAAATAAATTTTTGTTACACGAAATATGGCATTAATTTATCATTAATGAAAGTATATTATATGTTCTTAATCAAAATATCCAAATTGGAGAATGGAAGATGTTATAGAAAATGTTACCATATCATAGAAAATTTCATTATATTTGACGATGAATTTAGTAACATATTTTTCATTTAATTCACAAAATTCACAAATAAGATTGGAAGACTTCGATATAAAAGTAAAATGTAATCACACGATCAATGAATTCAAAATATAAAGCAAAATATTAAAAACAGAAATAAACTATATCTAATATTAGATTAATACAAAATAATTCCTTCTGTATCATATTTACATTATCAACAAATTTATTTTAAAGCATAGGGCAAGTATATTATAATTTCAAAAATAACTAAAATAAAATATGTAATGAATAGATGAATTAAAAGATAATAGAATATGAAATGTATGATTTTAAATTGTGATAATTACAGTCTTTAAATATTCAAAAGCTATTCAAAATATATTAGAATAAATAAATATTTAATTGTAAACATCAATATAGTATTGTTAATTCATAATTTATGCTAATGAACGTAAAATCAACATACCAACTTAGGAGCATGTATTTTCGAGAAATAAAGCCTCCAATTTTGGAATCTGAGATAGTATCTGTTACTTTTATCGCTTTTGGTATAGATAGAATTATCCAAATTTCATTATGTTATGTTACAAAACATACTGCCACTGGGATAACATTCACAATTCATCTACGCGACGCGCTTTTTTAGATTATAGAAATATATAAAAGTTATCCGAATCACACAAGATCACTTTCTTCATTTCACATTGTCCACCATTGTCTATCATATGTACACATAAGAATCACTTGGCACTCTTATTCACAACGATTTTGTCTTGCACGCCGTGCAGGAGATTCGTAATTTTGATGGGTGGCGGCGGTGGATGGACGCCAGGATGTTTCTTTCGGTGCAGCATCATCGGCGAACGCTGAGTGAAACTCTGACCGCAGATGTCACAAACATAAGGCCGCTCGCCGACGTGGGTCAGCAAATGGATCTTTTGCGAGCTGAGGCAGCCGAAAGTCTTGCCGCAAATCGCGCAAAGATACGATTTTTCGCCCGAGTGGGTCCTAAGGTGCTTGGTGAGGCCATACTTGAACTTGAATTCCATACCACACTGCTCGCAGACATACTTCATCTTGTGCAGCTCGGTATGACTGTCCAGATTCTTCTGGGTCTTGAAACGCTTCCTGCAAATCTGGCACTCAAATTCCTTGATCTTCGTCTTGTGCTTGTAATGCTTATGGAAGTACAGGGAACTCTTGCTAGAATAAGACGTGCCGCAAATATCGCAGACGCAGGATTCTGTGTCGTGGTCCTTCATGTGTGTCGTATAGTCGGACTGTACTTTGAACATCTTGCCGCACTGTTCACAACTGTAATTGTAGTCCTCGGTGTGCTTGCGAATATAATGTATCTTCAAATACGGTTTTGTGCGTGCTTTGAAATCGCACAGGGTGCACGCGTGAAGTTGCGCGGGCTCATCGTGAATCTCCATATGCCTGGAAAGATACGCACCGGTCTTGAAGCCCTTGGAACAGATCGTACATTTATGCGGCCGTGAGTTACTGTGTTTGAACATGTGACTGGTGAGCTTGCTCTTGCGATCAAAAGTGATGTAACAGATTTCGCAGATGTGCGACTTCTTTTTTGATCCAGTCGCGTGCTTACCAGATCGCGTTTTCGAGAGGTGATCTTTGCGCCGTTTCCTGAAGTCCAAAGGAGCGTCATCCAAATCATCGAAATCGTCCAAATCGTTGCTAACAGTCTTATTTCTTTTTCTAGTCTCACGACTTTGAGTCTTCTCAACGCGATTTTCCTTCTTCTCTTTCGGCACTTCATCTTCTTTCGACTCAGTTTTAAAATTATTTTCCTCGGTGGGTGGCGGTTCTTTCATCATAAACACGCTCAATGACTTTGGGATGCGAAAATAATCGTCTTCCAGTTTTACTATCAGAAAAGTTGGCGAGAGTGGATCTAGTTGATTGCACCTAAAAAAATTATAAAAATCGTCAGTCGATTTTTATTCATTAGCATAATGGGTATATAGTCGTGCTGATCGCACGCGAGCATGCACGATTTGGTACAATTTCAGCTAAAAGTTTCAATAAATAAGAAGCAGGACTGAATTTCAAAAATAACTTTTCTTTACTGCTTACAGATATATTTGTTTAGGCAAGCAATTCTTACTTTACTAATAATTCTGAAATTTATTTATAATTTGAACAATAAATGATCTTAGTATAACTAACTTATAAAAGAGAAACACAAATGTTGAGTCTATATGTTACATTAATATATGTATAAATTTTTTATATACACTAATATTTAATATACACTAATATTTTTAACTTAATGATATGACTAGAGTTAAGCACGGTAAGAAATGCATTAGAAATTAATACAATTGTCTTTATTGAAGGAGAGTTAATAAACGAACTATGAACATAAAGCTAACAACTAATTATCAACGAGCTCCGAATTTATTATGTAAAATTAAGGAATAATATCACTCACAATCACAGTTGCAAGACCTAGTGATGGAAAGAAAGTCAATAATGTAGTGAAAATTATGAACTGAGAAACATATATTCATTGTCACAGATTAGTAAAATTAAAAATAAATTACAAAAATAATTAAAAGACTGTAAAGAAATTAAATAAACTTATATAAATGTAATTATTTTATTAAGGATTTTAATCACAATTTATTTAATATATTTAATTTCTTTAGAAAAATTTCCTATATTTTTTATTTATTGATATGTAAAATTACTTTTATATTTCTTTTAACGAAAACGTAAATAATTTATTTAAATAGAAATTATAAATTGTAAATAGAAATTCTCTTTTGTAATTTCAAATATAATTAAATTTCTAATATATTATTTTTTATTAATTTTATATTAAGACCTTATATAATATATCAACATATCAATATATTACTTATATATAAATATTAATATCTCATCAGAAATAAGCTTTTTTTATATATAAAATAAAATTGGAAACATATACGTAAACTCTCCATATATTTTAATATCAATATCTTAAATGCATTCCTTAGTTATTAATATATCATTTCCAAGCCTATTGTTAACAATCACTTTGTTATCAATTATAATCGTGTATTCCTAGGAAATTTTACTCGATATTTTTTGCTCTAAGGAAATCCTTAGCAAATTTTAATATCAGAAGTGACAATAGTAACTTCAATAGCAGTAACTCAGAATGATGAATCCTATATTTTAATAGAATTTTATGTTGTGTAAAATCTTGCAAACGTTGTATTTTTACGGCCATATTACGGCATGGGTAAGTACATATGTATAGATAGAAACTGCTGATCGACAATATCGCTCTCTGATATAAGACACAGGTATAAACATTCTGGCAGTGTTTATATGTTATGTTTTGGGACTCACGAGTTTGCGAGCGTTGCTGTACGCCTTGCCGCAATCTCCATATTTAAAGCCTTTCTTATATCATATGGAGTCCAGTTTGCATCCAATTTGCATCTCTGATAAAATTTTTTGTGACATATATGACACTTGTAATTTTGTTTTCGATGCCGCCACTCGTGATTATTAATCGTTATTTCTCTATCTTGCCACAATAGTAGCAGATTTGCAGCTTAAAATTGGATATATATATATATATATATTCTTTTTATAATTCATCACGTCCATCTTCAGTTTATAAATGCGATTGTAAGTAAATTCCATTTTTTTATGGTTGCGAATGTAGTGTCTTCTCTGTAGTCCTCCTTTAGTTTTGTATTTTGTCACAGATCTCACACTTAAAGTAGTTCATTCTGATATATTTTTCATGTGTCTGTTGCGTGAAACTCTTTTACACTCACATTTACAATGCACATTTTTACCACTAAATTTCACACCGTTAAACTGTTTCTCGCAAATTGAACAAACATCTTTTATCTTTTTATGTCTTTCTATGTCTTTTTTGTCTTCGAATTTTATTCCGTAAACTTGACAAACTGAAGTCTTGCAGTGGATTTTATGTTTATCGAAGATTGAACTTTTTGAATTGATATGTTGTTCTGAACTCTCACAGAATTTTGTGTATCCAGTATATCTTTCTTTTTATAAACCTTCGAGTTATTTATCCTATAATATACTGTAACAGATTTAGTTCTTTCATTCTTGTGAAATTATATTCGTCTTTAACAGATTTCCAACAAAAATGGAAAAATGATGAAATAAACAGTTCCTTTTTGATTTTGCTCTTCTTTCTGTATGACGATAGGCTTTTCTTCTGAAACAGGAATAAAATGTGTCAACGCATAAATTATCAATACTGTATTTGAAATATATATTCAAACAACAGACACACATATATTCAAATAGCTAGTATGCCCTTCCATTTCTTTTCATCTGAAAATGGGATTAATCTGAAATGAACGTTTATTAGTTATTACTAATATATTTATCAGTTATACTAAAATCTGTCATAATCAAATGCAAGA